CCCTATAATCTTTTGTGTGTCTTGCTAGAATGTTTTCACTCTTAATTGGTCTTTTCATTCCATTGTTATCTAGGTGGTTTCTTTAGAAAGACAAGAATAAGTGTTTAATTTGTGGCTTCAGTTTAGTTGTATACAACTGTAAACCAAATACCCTTTTTACCACACCTGATAACTGCAGTAGCTACTTTGTGTATTTGTTCCTCTAAATTAAATTTAAAGATAAAAAAAAATGCTAGGACAGAATCAATATTGGCAAATTTGTGGGGAATTTCTTAGGAAACGGAACTGCTAGTTGTTGGCGGTGATCTTTTTTAGATTGTTACAGTGTTGTTATGGATAGCATAGCATTAAGATAGGAAGCATTACCCTATGTAGCTTAATTATTCATTGGGTGGAAACTCAAACAGTCCTGGAATAAATACAGATGGCAAAATTATCTGTTAGTAGACACCAACTGGCATGTGTCTTGCTTTTTATTTGCAATTAACAATTATTCCATTACTTGGTTTTCTTCACTACTGTACTGGAATTTACAACGTTTTTCCAAATGCGTGTCGGTCAGTTTTAATTCAGATGAGTTTGAACTTCACACAACTTTAAAGTGTTTTTTGATATTGAAATATAAATCAATTTACTTCTAATTTATAATGAGGTATGAATGTGGGCCTCAATTACAGTTTTTAAAAGCTTAAGCAGTAGGGAGGGAAGAGTGGCACTGCCTAGAGGTACTATGCCTTTTAAAGTCATAATACTTTTGATGTTCTGGAGAGAATGTTGGAGTGGCACCTCTTGCCATACTTGTTTAGCAAGTATTGCCAGTACTGTGTCAGCATAGCTGTTCCACTCTTGCCACACACCTAAAAGCTTTCTTCAGCATGAATGGTAGCTGAACTACACTTTTGTTTCCCTTTGAACTCCTAAGCTCTAGGATCTTGGTTACGCCTGACCCTTCTGTACTGAAAGCAGGACATGAGGTCCTTGCACTTTCCTCCCTTTAAAACAACTTAGCATGGGAAGGAGAATTAAGTCCACGATATGGTTTTAAGTTCATCAACTATTTTGATATTTAAAGTGTTCTCACGGTATGTAATAATTATGTTCATAAAGCAGCATGGCTTACTTTACCACATTTTGCCTGTTAAGACCACAGGTTGAAATAAAAAACTGTAGTTCATTAAAGGAACTAAGGTTGCATTTTCTTTTTAACCTTTCTCTTTTTATCATCAAATAAATAAGTCTCTTCAAATAATATTACTACTTGGATATTTTGCAAAATACTAATCTTTACTGATTGCAATACACTGTATAGTGTAAGGGTTAATTCTTTTATTAAAGTTGATTACCTCTTGCATGTGACAGCTCATCTGGTGTACTGTGCAGATGGTAATCCATTACTGCTTGTCTTGTCTTTGTGACTTAGTTCTTGTGGAACCTTGGGAAAATACAAACTGCTGCTATTATGGGACATGGTCTCAAAGGGAAAATGAATGATCATGGATATTTGAAAAGAGTTGATGATGTAAGAAAAAGCCCTTTGGCTACTTTCTCCCCTTCCTGTTTTCCTCTTTTCCCCTCACCCCCAAACTTTTTTATATTTTTGCCATCACTGCCCCTTGAGAAGAAATACTTGTATTCAGAATCTTTGTATTAAAATTTAACATTGAGAGGCTGATGGCAATAATTCCTCAAAAGGCCTATTTGATTACAATGTGTTAGGAACTAGAAGTATGGACTACGTTATCATTTTGTAGTATAGGTAGAAAAGTTACCCAGTATTGGCTGTGCACAGTGAGTAAATGACAGTTTAACTAGTTGAATACTGTTTGTTTTTAAAAATCTGTGCTTATTCTCTGACAGTTTACTTTTTAAAACAGCACAGAGGTTTCTGTGTTTCTCTTTCATTGGTTTCCATGCATGTCTACCAAACACATTCATAGAATGTACTTAATATACAAATAAAATACTATTTTTATTTCTTTTTCTCTTACTGCTTTTACTGAGAACTCAAATCTGTTTTGGGTTTGGTATTGCCAATAAATGCAGATTCTGTAATTGTAATAAGTCAGTTGCTGATATACTTCAGCTATGTCATTTTTACAATGTAATATAGGGATAAAACATGGTATTTAACACACACATTCCAAATTCCAAGATTTTGCCTTCAGATAAGCACATGCAATTAATTCTTGCTGAATTCTCAGAGTTCCTATTTGAGTCTTTTGCCCTATATGGCAGTTTAAATGTTAGATGGGGATTTAAAATAAACTGACTTAATTTTCTACAAGTAATTTTCTTTGGGTGTCTGTTTCAATTTACTGTATCTGCCCATGATACTGATTGTTATTTCCTGGTTTCTTACAATGAAATCTTATTTTTCTGTATCAAGTGAAATATTTTACAACAGTACTGGGTTGTTTTTTTAATCCTTTTTCCAAAAAAAAAGTCAGCTATTTCTTTTCTCCAAAATAACATTTCTCAGATAATTTACTGAAGTTGTGATCAAACAGTTTGAAATTGGTGGCATGTTTATTTGGAGGCATATTTCAGGTAGAGTTGATCTAATAATTAAAATATAGTTCCTTCCCAAGGCCCTCAATCATTTGCTTTTCAAGAAGATATTGGATAAAGGATTTAAGTTTGGAAAGCTTTGTTTATATTACACCCACGACACGTAACACAAAGCTACTTACTGTTGGAGTGAATTTGGTATAGTAGCTTTGCTCAGAAGTTGTGAAGTCTGGGATATACATTTAGTCTGTGATATGACAACAAAACCTGTGTACTGTATCATTCTACATGTTATTGAAAAATGCTCTACAAATGTGTGAGCTTATTATTTAGATATTTTATATCCTTTTGTTGATAAAGGGTCCCTTGGACTATAAGACCAATTTTACAAGCCTCAGAGGTGGAGAGAAATTACAACTAATGCATTTTAGATGCTTCTAATAGTAGCCTTTTTATAAATTATAATGCTCTGACTTTTAAGGTTGTGTATCTTCTGACTTACTATGGCGATAGAAATTGTTATCTCATTGGAAAAGGGGTTCTCTATTCTTCAGGGCTTTAGTAGTATAAAGCACTTATTTATTGCCCTGGTGTGTGCAAGATACTGGATTATGACTGGCACTAGTAAAAGTTGTAATGGAGTTAATTAGGTATCTCCAACTACTGTAAACCAGTTTGGTTTTTGAAAGGAGGAGGTTAGAGGATCCTGTTCCTTAAAACTTAAATGTATATTGTACATATTATATTAATATTGTTAAGGAAGAGAAAAGGCTATTTGTAAGATGTTTAGAAGTCTAGAAGTTTTAGTCAGTAATGCAGGGACATAAGGAATTACAATCAAATATATGAGATGAGATGTGATAAAATCATATTATAATAAATGGTGTAGAGAAATAAAGTCAGGAACTTATGTTTTATCTTGTAACAAAATTCAAAGGGAATATCAGTGAAAATAAAACTCTGGAAATTAAAAAAATGTTAAAAGGAAATACTTTCACTGTATATACAGTTTTATTCAGGAAGCTGTCTGCCACAAGAAGTCCTTGAGTTGGAATTTATCAAGATTTATAAAAGGTATTGGACATTTACATGAGTGTTCATATTATCATAAATAATAATAAAACACATTTTGTGGCCAGGATGGGCACTTTTACATGTGTTCCTGGAGGTTCGGGGGCAGAACTTTATTTGGAGTAGCTTCTAACACATCAGGTCTCATCTTTGTAGGTAATAGTTTGAGCATGGCCTATGACCTGAAGTAGGGAAGTGAAATATCCAGCACCTATACATGAGTGTAGATGCTACTCTGATGCACTGGTATTCTAGCACGTCAGAGCAATCTGCTCGATTAATTGAGTCTGCTGGAGTGTGGCAGCATCCTCTTGCATCTCCTGTATTGGCGTTCTTTTGCTTAAAAATGGTGGC